CCTAGCCTCATCCCCTCCTTTTCCTCTACTTAATTTCTTTGTTCAATCCACGACACATAGATTCTTTCCCCTTACAGAAGGGGTCTTGCTGTTTCATTCTTGGGATCCTTCAAAATGCTTTTTTCTCTGCCTAGTTCCATCCCTTCCATTGGACTGGTGTCTTGAGGTGCTTCAACACATGGTTTCCTTGTTTCCACCTCAGGAAAGCCTTTCCCAACCCATAGCGGACATAGGTGTTCCTCATCGGGATTCTTGTAACATGCGGTGGGTTCCGCCACCATGGCGCTCATTAGAACCACACTGTACAGTTTGTCCTCCCAATTAAGCTGCAGTCCAGCCACTCTAGCTTCCTAATTATCAGTGCTTTGCACATTGCTCCTAATCATTATTTGGATTAGATGGATCAAATGAAAATCTTCATTCAACGGGCTATTGAGAAATTTAGTACACATGACCTCTTCTGTCCTTTCCATGAAGTTTGGTTTTCATTAAAGTGTATCTGCATCAGATAGAGTTCTGCGTGCTTTGTCCTGGTGTCACAACGTTCCACTTTGTACAGGAAGAATCATTTTCCTTCACTGACTAATACATGGCAAAAGGAGGAGGCTGAAACCAGCCAAAGGGGCAAGGAGTGTCAGTACACGTGATTCAAGCCAGTGTGGCGTGTAAAATTGTGAGAGAGAATGACCTATCAGGATTTCTAGCCAGGCTGCCTTACAGACTATGCTGTGTTCTTGTTTTTAGGAACTATCCCTTCGACATAGTGACGTTGTTAAACCTCGTTCTATTCAAGGCTTCTGACACCAACAGAGAGATTTATGAAATCTCCATGCAGCTCATGCAGGCACGTATCATTTTTCTGGCATGGAAAATTTTTATCCTTGAGGATAGAACATGTTTGTTTCTGTGAATCACTGGTGGATGCAAAGAGTGAAAAAATATATATATATATAATGTTATGTAAACATCATAATTAACTGATAGCTTCACCTTTAATCCTGTCTTCAGATAGGCATTAGTCAGTTGTTACAACTTTTATTAAATGCTCCTGAGATGTCCAGCTAATGCTTTTCTCATACTATTTCTTAAACTTTCTTTTTATAGATTCTTGAAGCAAAGCTTTTTGTATACTCTAAGAAAGTCTCTGAACAAAGACCCGGCAGTATTCTGTACGGAACGCACGGACCATTGCCACCCCTATACAGTGTGTCACTCACCCTCCTGTCCTCCGAACTGGCCAGGATGTACCCCGAGCTCACTCTTCCACTGTTCTCAGGTACTGTGCGACAGTCTAGAGTGACGTGTGATCCTCTCTTCTGTTCTAATTCTAGGGTAATTCTATCATCAATATTATTGATGCTAAATTTGTAGATCAGAATTGCTTTAGGCCAAATCCAGCTATATATAAAAATAAATTCTAGAATTTTTTTAAACATAATTATCTGTAAAACAATATAGTTATAAATGTACACACATGACAGATGCAAAGATGCTCAGATTGTTTTTAAAAAACTTCTACATGCATTATATATGTGCATTTCCCAAAGAAATTAAATATAGGCAGTATAACGTATAATACCTACAGTCACTTTTAATTGCTGTGAGATGTTTGTTGGTAGTAGTGATAGTGGTGGTGTTTTGAAGCTAGCATGTTCTACATTCAAAAGTTGAGG